GCTTTGTAGTAAGTTTTGAAATCAGGAAGGGTGAGTCGTCCAACTTTGTTCTTTTTTCTCCCCCTCAAGATCATTTTGGCTCTTCAGACTCAGAGTTGAAGTGTTTGTTCTATCCTAAGGAAGCTGTAGGGGGTTTGGATAAGGTCCAAGGAAGACTAATTAAAATAATCATGAGTTGTAATAGGCTATTCTTATCAGTTTGGCTTGTCTGATGGATGCTGTCATCTGGAAGGAGGAGGGCTGAGAGGCAGTTTATGATCAAATTGTAAAGTCGTGAAGAGGAAGGGCTACGCGAGCTGGTTTGGGCACCTCATCATGGATACTATAAAGTTAGAAGGTTGCCCAGTGAGGTTTGGAATAGGCAAGTTTAGTATACCTGAACAGGACAGTGCCCCATTCTGGTACAAAATCGGTGAAGCTTATTATCCTCGAGGAGCGATTAATTAAGCTAAAAGTCATAAATACTGGAGCTTTAAAATGTTTTAGAACATTTGTGGATCTTCATCTACCAGGACAAATGTGGATGTTTTGCACTTGCTTCTTACCTTTTGAGGTTAGTGCCACCACCCTGTGCTCTCCCGCACCCTGTCCCCTGGAGATGTGGTCTGGGGCAGAATAGTGTGCTGAGTGGCCATGAGTCTATGCCTGTATGGTGGCTCTTGGGCATTCCCATGCGCCACACCCTTGCTGAGTGTCCTCCCAGTGGGTCAGAGAGAGAGAGGACCCAGCCCCAGTGCCCCGCCTGCAGTGGGGTTGTCTTTGCTGAGACCCAGCTCTGTTAGTGCCGCCGTAAGATGCAGCTAGACAGAGGCTGCCCAAGTTGGGACTCGTTGGTCTTCCTCAAAACACAGCCTCTCTCGTGAATCAAATTTGCATCGACATCCTACCGCATACCACCTTCTAATCCTGTTCTGGAGCCACACTCAAGTCCTGCATAGGTGGTTTTGGTTTTAGTTCCGGTTTGACTGACTTCTAATAACAAAATGCTGTGCCAGTGAGAATTTCATTCTGACCACTTTTGGGGGGAGGGGGAGGTGCTGAGGGGGAGGGAGAGGGAGAATCCTAAGGAGGCTCCACGCCCCCAGCACGGAGCCTGACGTGCCACTCGATCCTACAACCCCTAGCTCTTGACCTGAGCTGAAATCAAGAGTCAGACACTTAACTGACTAAGCCACCCAGGTGCCCCCTGGTTCTGACCACTTTTTACCTTGGTTGTGTCTCAAGTGGTTTTGTTACTCCTCTGTGATTGGTTTTCCAAATTGTGTCATTTCTACTACATAACTCCTTGGTTGTGGAATACAGAGAGTTTTAGGTATGTATTGTTTATATGCGTGTGTGTAGACTGATTTAACCTGATGAGTCACTATGAAGTAGATTATAAAGGGCTATTAGCATTCATTAGTCCAGATTTAGCTTTTCAAAGAAATCGCGATTAGGTTTATGATTTAGTGTACCTAGTACATTTACAGTAAATTCAGATGTTTTTATAATTTTATTACCTATTTTGAGAAACGAATAGTAACAGAAGACTAGCCCTAATGTCTGTCTTTAAAGTTCAGGAAAAAATATATAAAATTTAAAGCACTTCCCAGCGTTGGATCAGTGATCCAAACAATGTGAATTTAAAAACAAACTGGATTCAAATTTCAGCTGGAGGATTGTAGAGGTCATCTAGTTCATTGCCTTCTCTCTGATGAATCATGAGGAAAATGAGGTTCAGAGAGGTTAAGTGACTTGCCCAATGCCACACGGCTAGTTACTGGCAGAGCTGAGACTAGAATAGCAGTTTCTTGCTGTGCTTGCTGTGGTCTTACTGTAACTTGCCACTTCCTAATTAGTGGTTAAAGAGACGTTTTACGTGTGCATGCCTGTGTGTGTGTGTCTGTTTGAGTCTTACATTTAGAGGAGAGATTAAAGTTTATTGAGCACCTATTTGCCGAGCACTTTTTTTTTTTTTAAAGATTTTATTTGTTTATTCATGAGAGACAGAGAGAGAGAGAGAGAGGCAGAGGGAGAAGCAGGCTCCCAAGGAGCAGGGAGCCCGATGCGGGACTCGATCCCAGGACCCTGGGATCATGACCTGAGCCAAAGGCAGACGCTTAACCATCTGAGCCGCCCAGGCGCCCCGAGCACTTTTAAAATGTATTATTTCATATAGTTCTTACATAGTCCTGTAAAGTGATTATTAACAGTTCCACTTTACAGATTAGGAAACCAGGGTGCAGGGAGGTTACTAACTTGCGCAAGGTCATGTGATTGGTGTTAGAGCTGCTATTTGAACCTTGGGTCTTTCTGATCTGTTCCTGCCATCATAACCCTGCTGTGGCTCTAGCGATAAGTAACTGAAGCCTTTTCAGGGGTGTGGGCAGTAGTGATGATTATCTTAAAAATGTATCTTTTTCAGACTTCTTCCTCACTCTGTAAACTGTATAGATGTACACAGATGTGTGCAGAGCAAGTCCTTCTCTGAATACTCACAGCGCTTAGCGGATGTGTGGCTAATCTTCCTACCATCTCTGTAAGATAAATGGTATTTTCTGGTTAGGCGGCTGAGGCCCAGATGGATTCAGGGACTTGCCTAACCCCTTATCACAAACACGCACGGCCCTGCTCCCAGTTCCGTTCTTCATCCCGTCTCACATAGATTTCACCACTTTTGTTCTTTCCTGTCTTACACCAAGATTGTTGAAGTACTTCCCAAAAAGAATGAGCCACGTGTGGGTGTGTTCGTTCTCCAGAATGAATCACTGTGAAAGAGGCCATGAACCAACGAAGGGAGAAGAACTATCTGGAATCAGAGGCTCTTGGCTCTCCTGTCTGCTAATTGACAGACTCTGAAGTGAGCTTTTTTTTTTTTTTTTCAAAAGGCGGCTGCGGGTCTGGCCTGTGTGTCCCACTGTGCTCAGAATAGCCCTCTTAGAGTTGCTCGTTTTCCCTTCTTGCTTCCCAAAATAGCCCCAATGCTGTTCTCTTTGCTGGATGTCATGGCACGTGTATTGAGAGGTGTGCGCTCCACGGGGAACCCCTTCGTGCCTGAATGTCCTCCCTGACACAAAGGGGGGGTGGCATTAGCTTCCTTGGATTACCGGTCAGGACTGCAGCGTGAGTAAGAGGTTTGGCTCGAGTATTCAGAGAGTTGCAGAAGTAAATTTGAGTTAGCAAGAAGAATAAAAGAGGGAGCAAAAAGAGGTATTTGGGGGAAAATGAGGAGGTTTCTTCGCCTTTGTGTCTAAAAAGGGCTGGAATCGAAGTTTAGGAAGAACTGATTTTTAAAATTGCTTTTATGATTTGGATTCTAGTCTAAAGGGTACCTGCTTTAAACTTCCTGCCCTTAAAATAGAACACTACCATCACCCTTCAGCAGGTAGCTGCGTGTTTTGGAATTTCTCCCAGAAGAAAGGGCTCTCTCTGATCAAAGGCCTTACGGTGAAGCTCCACAGCGGCGATTACCTGTCCATGTGCGCTCTCCTTTGTTTCCGTGGGTGGGAATGGCGACAGAGTGCGTTATTTGTAGAACGCCTGAGGAAGGGGGCTTGGGCACCGGAGATATTTAGAATCTGCCTTTGGAACTGAAAAGCCGAGAGATGCCTTCCAGGGTATTGCAGGAAGAGACAAAGATAGACTGTTTACAGCCTGAAGGGGTGAGTTACAACAGGCTAGTTTTTCATGGGATTGGTCATAAACGTCTCTTCTCTGGGGGCCTTGGTTTGAATGTATTCCCACTTGGTATCCAGATAGTATTCACTGAGTGGCCAGTGTGGGGCTTGGGTGGGCTGCCCCCTCCATTCCCCGATGGGCAAATGCTTCATTCAGCAGCGAGTCCCAACCTAAGTGTCCTAGTGGCCACAGCCGTACTCCTGCCCGTTCCGAGAGGTCAGGGCTGGGTTAGGCTCATGGGAGACAGTGTTGGGGAGAACCGACTGCTGCTGTCTGTGCTATTCTTGTTAGATGGATAAATAAAGGATTTCAGATTCCAGGGCTGCTGAACTGGCTTTCAGAGGCACCAAATTCATTTACAGTAATTTCCTGTCAACAGTGCACACTTATGTATAATACACACCCAGCAGAACTCATTAGTCCCAGACATGATTGCACACACTGCCTATTTGGGGGGGGGGGAAGCATGCATGTGTGTGTATATATGTATAAAACATTTATATTTATATATTTTATATGTGTATATATTATATATGCGTATATAATATTTTCAAAGTGATATCCAGGGACCTTCCAGAGTAGATTAAATTTATTGAGCACTTTTTATGCATCAGCTCATTTGATCCTCACAGTAACTTTATGACGTAAACATTAATGTTATCCTCGTTGGAGGTTATTCTTTTTGCCCCTCATGAGAGGTGCACCTGCCATGGACTAAAGGGTGGAGGAGGATGTTGGACTATGGGCAGGAAGCTTTTCAAAGGAAGTGATGGTCAGGCTGAATTTTAAAGGATTTGTGAGAAGTAGCCTTTTAGGAAAAAAAGCATTGCAGCAAAAGAATGTGTGAGAGCATGCATACTGCATTCAGCAAACTGTGGCATGCCTAGTGCCCGAGAAAGGAGGTGGGGTTGAGGAGCCATCATCAAGTGAGGAAGCCTGGGCGGTTTTGGAGGGAGGATGTAGGGGTGGGCAGGGGTGGTGTCCTGTATCCTCCAAGGGCCAGGTGTCTTCCTCGACATTTCAAGGAAAACTTCATTCCCAGCCACAAAATAATGTGTAATGAGTCTAAGGCAGAGTTCGAAAGGTGGTTTCTCTGTTTCTCATGGGCATTAGATAGGGCCACTTAGAAGAAAATGGTGGAGCTTGGAAGCCTGGTTTCCGAGCTGAATAAACAGGTGAAAAGCTGGTGCTCCCATTGACGGTGTTGTCTTTCTGGCGCTATCTCTATAAAGGCTCCTGATTTGGGAACATCAAGTGTGCCAAAGGCTTATATTCTAAGTCTGGAAAAGGACCTGGGAGAAGATCTCACCATTAATGTCAGTGTACTCCCAAATTTCCCGCAGCTCTGCAGTGTGCGTGTACCAGCTGCCTCCAGGCCAACTACACGTGTGAGACAGATGGGGCCTGCATGGTTTCCATTTTCAACCTGGATGGGATGGAGCACCACGTGCGCACCTGCATCCCCAAAGTGGAGCTGGTCCCCGCTGGGAAGCCCTTCTACTGTCTGAGCTCCGAGGATCTCCGCAACACCCACTGCTGCTATACCGACTTCTGCAACAAGATCGACCTGAGGGTGCCCAGTGGTGAGTGGACACCCTTGTTGGACTATTGGCTCATCCTGGAGGTAGGGCACCCCCGTCATCTCATCCTTCTCTACTCCTGCCCAATCCCTTTGTTTGGTGATATGTAGAAGTACCTTTTTGATGTGCCCCAAGGTGACAAGGGGATGGGATTCCTCCCCACTCAGGTTTGTAGATGAGAGGTCGGAGGAGACAGATGGTCAAGGTAGTCCCAGGGTTGAAAACTGAGTTCTGGCCACTGGCTGAGCAGCCATGGGCAGCTGGTAAGGAGTGGGAGAGCCAGGCAGGGATTCCCCCCCCGCAAGGTATGGAGACAACCACTGAGCTGTGTGAAGGCAGCTGCTGGGTGAGGGTGATGGCAAGGCAGGACGAGAGGCCAGAGTCGAAAAAGAAGGACAGCAATCAAGGCTGAGAAGGATTAGCTGGCATCCCTTTTGCAAGTGTACCATTTAGAAGGCATCACTGGGGAGAGCAGAAGAGGAGGGACTTAAAGCTGCAGGGCTTAAAGCAGCTGTTACGAGTGGAAGAGCAGAAGTTGGCCTGGGGCACTGAGGTGGGATAGTCCCATGAAATGCTGCGGATGACAAAGTGGCTTGTGAGTTGGACTGTCGAAAAGGGCTCCTCCATTGGAGAGGTTTGCATCTAAGAGCACCGGGCAGACACACAGCCTGGTAAGACCAGGGAGGTCAAGGGCACCTTGAACACAAGCAGAGGGAAAGGGCATTTCCACATGGAGGGAGGTATTGGGGACAGATAAGGCCAGAGCTTTCCCGTGTTTTTACTGTGTTCTTTCCCTCTCCTCTCTCACTTGACCCAGGTCACCTCAAGGAGTCTGAGCACCCTTCCATGTGGGGCCCCGTGGAGCTGGTAGGCATTATTGCTGGCCCAGTGTTCCTCCTGTTTCTCATCATCATCATTGTTTTCCTTGTCATTAACTATCATCAGCGTGTCTATCACAACCGCCAGAGACTGGACATGGAAGATCCCTCATGTGAGATGTGTCTCTCCAAAGACAAGACGCTCCAGGATCTTGTCTACGATCTCTCCACATCGGGGTCTGGCTCAGGTACCGAGTCCTTTAGCGATTGTGTCTGTTGTTGGTCTTCGTCACCATTTCCCAGCAGGATAGAACGTTTGTGAAGAAGGCTGGGCCTTGCACTTGTTTCTGCCTGCATTGAGGTGTTTGGCTTCCTAATTCCCCTTCTTTTGGAGTCTGATATGTAATAAGATAATGGGTCCACAGAAAATCTTTCATTCCCTGGGATTCCAAAGGCCAAGTACAAAACTCTCCATTCCAGGAACCCTGCCTCTCCAAGTCTTGCAACTATACATGTGTTAAAATTCACCTGGTTCCACCTGAGCAGCGGAGTGCTCAATGGAAGGGCCCCTTTGGAGAAACAGGAGTGTGCCGGGTTTCTGTGAGGTGGTGACTGCTAATCATTGATCTCCGAGCAACCACAAGGGGAGTTTAAGGACACTGAGGAAAGCTGAGAGCTGGGTTTAGTGAATCATTGACTTGTACCAGTTGCCCAAGGGTTTTCTGGTGCAGGTTACATAAAGGCAGCCTGGGCTTGTGGCATGGGATCGGTACCATTCGCTTCCTGCACTGCCTGTGGACCGACTCTCTCCTAGACGAGGGAATTGAACCGAACCCTGGACCTTCGTGTGAGCCCGGAATTCAGGATAAAGGGACTGGGGCTGCTCAGGTCTCAGGGCATAGCTCAGCTAGCTATTAGATGTGAAATGACTGCGAAAGAGTCTTTTTATGAAGATAAGCAATTATTTTAGTTCTGTCCTTGTAAAAAAAAATAATAATAATCTGCAAAGGTCTCTATTGCTGTTCTAGCTAAAACATACAGAATCATATTGTGAGAATTTTGTGTGTGTTTATGTATATTTCCTTGCCGTGTGACAAAGACTATTGTTCTGTAGGGAAATTATGCCATCAGTCATGGCCAGACATTCCTCCTTGAACACAAGGAATACTTTGAGCTGTGACATCTCCTGAATTTCAGTGGTTTTGCCTTTATTAAAGCTCTGCAGTAGAGAGTGCCAAAATGATGGATATATTTAAAAGCTGCATATTTTTAGGAAGAGAGAAAATATATGTCTTGTTCTTTGCTGAAAGAGGTAGGGCAGTGGTTAGAACTGCCTGGCTGACTCTGCGACTTGATTTGCTGTCACAGGAGGGTAGCTCAGGTCTTCTGGAGTCCTTTTTAAGATCAGAACTAGCTGAGGCTAGCGAAGGTCCGTGGTGGTTACTTAGTCACCTGGAGTAAAATGACTAATAACTGTTTCTCCTTGGAGGTTCTAGTCCCTTCTTAGTTCCAAATATGCAGAGCTTTGAAGGTGTTGGAGTTTTAATACTGTGGTTTTTAAAGTGATAAGTGCTTATGTGACTTTCAAGTCCCTTCAACAAGTACGTGTTGAATACCCTGTGGGTGACACAAGCTAAACAAAGATGAAAACGGCTGACCCAGGATTGGATAGAAAAAATGGGGATTGCTGGGAAAGGCTCTCATGGGGGAGGATGCATTTAAAGGGGTCCTGAAGACGGAGTTGGAGGTTTTAAGAGAGGTAAGAGGACAGGGAACATTCCAGGCCAAGGAGAACCCCTTGAGCAAAAGCACAAAAAGGCACGAAAGTTCACCATGTGTTTAGGGGACGATATAGAGGCTGGCATGCCCTGCCCACACTGGGGGGTGGGGACTGGCAGCACAGCTCAGGTGGGCAGGACCTTGGGCACTGTGCTTTATCCAGTAAGGTGAGAGGCATCTACCGGAAGTTTTCATGTGGCAAAGTAAACGTTCATATTTTCCCGTGGAAGGCATTCTGGCAGTGGTGTGGAGGTTGAATTCACTCATTCACCAACCTCCTGTTAGCGAGGGCAGGGTGAGGCAGGGCTGTGTGTGGGTGTGCAGGGCAGGAACAGGGCGATGAGGGAGGTGGAAAGACCAGTTGGGAGTCTTTTAAAGACGGTCCAGAACCTGGATGGGCACAGGGGGGATGGAGAGGAAGGGTCCGATGTGAGAGACATTTTGGTGGTTCTGTAGTATTGTAGTTAAGAGCATAAACTTTGGGAGTCAGACAGTTCTAGACTTTAATCCCTTCTTTGCCACTTGCTGCCTATAGGAGTTCAAATGAGTTACTTAACTTTCCATTTTGAGCCTTAGTTTTCTTGTCTGTAAAATGGGGATAATAACACCATCTACCTTATAGGTGGTTGTGAGGAAATGAGATCATTTAAAGCTTTATCATAGTTTCTAGTGCATAGTAAGCCTCCAGTAAATGGGATTCACATCCACAGGACTTAGGGATTAATAACATGTTTATTTGGTCTGGGAGAGGAAGTGAGAGAGCTCCGAGTCAGTCTGATGGTAAGTGTGATTGGATAGATAGGGGGACTACTGAAGGGGGCAAATGAAGCAGTAAATGAGCCCTGTGAAGACAGTGAAGTTACTCTTAGGATAAGCGTGGGAAGTCTCTCCTTGCGTATCAGGAGCTTGACCTGAGCCGAGCTTTGGAGAGCAGTGGGAACCTTGTGCGCCCAACCACAGTTTGGCTTTCATGGGCCACGCAGCACCGCCCTCTAGTGGCCGTGGAGCAGAGCACCCCCAGTCCTCAAGCCCCGTCTTTCACCTTCTCTGCCCTCTTTCCTCTTCAGTCGGCATAAAGCAGTTGTGGGTGGACTGGCCCACGAGAGGCCGGCTGCAGAGTTGGTGAATCTGGTCAGACATTGTGTGCGAATCTGTCACCCGTACTAACTGAAAGGAAGAATTGCTTAGATAAGGCACAGCTAATCTCATGTGTTTCCCTTTCTGTGTTTGCTCACTGCCAGTCACTGCCGGGCTTAGCCCTCTGCCGGCTCACCTAGCCGTGTGCAGGGGCAGCCACAGCTCTCCTTGGTCAGGGGACCCCGGGTGGCTTGGAGGCACTGTGTGGTAATGGCCTTTCCAGTGTGGCAGTGAGAGTGGGTGTTGCAAAGTTCAGCAAATTGACAATGTCCGCTTTCTTTCCATTCTTTGGTCCACAGGGTTGCCCCTTTTTGTCCAGCGCACAGTGGCCCGAACCATCGTTTTGCAGGAGATTATTGGCAAGGGCCGGTTTGGGGAAGTGTGGCGTGGCCGCTGGAGGGGTGGGGACGTGGCTGTGAAGATTTTCTCTTCTCGTGAAGAACGGTCTTGGTTCCGGGAAGCAGAGATCTACCAGACGGTCATGCTGCGCCACGAGAACATCCTTGGATTTATTGCTGCTGACAATAAAGGTAACGAGCTGGGTTTGAATATAGGGGCTCCCAAAGCCAACAGTAGCCCCAGATGGACGGGGTGACTGGGGAAGTTGAACAGCTCTGGGACTGCCTTCATAGTTATTACCCATAGAAGGAGAATCTGAATAAGCTGATAGTCTCTCCAACTTCTCTTCTATGAAAAGCTTATACTGAAACCCAGGCCATTAAGCAAGCAAACTGTTATTAAGCAGACAAACAAGATAAACCCCTCATCCTACCTGCTCACTTCCCATTCGTAACACCCCTTCCCGTCACCCCTAGTGTAGTCCCCGCCCGGGCTTCATTTAGTTTACCTTGCACATCACTGGGATGAGGAATCGTGGCCTCAGCCCCTGCCAGGGCAGGGAGCCCAGAGAAGCATGTGGCGCACGTCTGTGATATAATCCGCATCATACACACGGGTAGCGGAGCAGGCCCAGCGGGGCTGACCTGGCTGCCCCCAGGTGTTACCTCCTCATGATCTTTCAGGCTCAGCTTTGGGTCTGCTTGGACCTGAGGTCCCTTGGTTCCTCCTTCTTCTCCCTTCTGATTTTTCTTTAGTTTCTGAGTCTCTGTTGTGTGGCCAGGCACGTCCTTGTTTTTGAGGGCTTCACTGAGCAGCAAAGTGAGAAGTAAAGACATAGTTAATTCCAGGAAGTAATCAAACTGTAAGCTCTTCTAGTTTGCACAAATTGGGGGTGAGGTGGGGGTCGGGGAGGTCACACTTGAGCTTGATTGAGGCCGGGGTGTCAGGAGTCGGTGAAGAAGACGACTCAGTGGGAAGGGCACTGCAGACACACACGTAGAGGTGAGGGGTGCCTGGGACCCTGCAGCTCACAGGCACGGCTCCGTGAGGGGAGAGGCGGCCGATGCCAGGCCACAGAGGGCCTCCTCGAGAGCATTACCTTTTATTCTGAGGTAGTGGGTGGTGCTTGGAGTTGCACTCATTCATGTACTCACATCCGTTGACCACTGCAGGGCAGGACCTCTGCCCGCTGTGCCGATGGTCACACAGGGTCCCCCCGTGGTCCTTGCCCTCGCAGCTCCTGGAAAGCCGAGGCATCAGGTACGTGGGCAGGTAGCAGAGAGTCTGGAGCCGGAAAGCCCATGCGGCCTTCGCGTGCTCACTGGAGAAGAGTCGCCCTGGCAGCTGGGACAGAGGCTGCTCCCGGGACATGGCAGTTTCTAGAAGTTCATGTCTCTGAAGCCTATGGAAGATGCTAAGTGTTTATTTTTCCTTCCTAAGACAGCAGCAGACTGCCGATTCCTCATATTACTGTGGGGCTTTGTCGTGGCCTCAACTGCCCCCAAGCTGAAGAGGCTCGGGCTCAAACACAAGGGAGGAAGGGGAAGAGAGAATGTTTACCCCCTTTGAGTAAATTGTGCTTTTTTTAAAACAGCATCTTTTGAGAACACTTCAATTTTACGTACAGCTTAAAGGCTCAGAAGATGTCTTCCCTTTTAACTTGGACTTACTGCCAGCATCCTCATGACTTCAGGGCTGGTTGGAGCGCAAGAGTGCTATGCTGGGTGGGCCCCTTGTTCGGAATCAGGGAAGCCAAAATTGGTGCCGTTCCAAGAGCCACTCCCTTTATTGATTCTGGCAGCTCGTGTGGAACAGGGATCTGGCTGTAAAAATTCACATTAGGGCCAAGGGAGGAGAAAAATCGGACTCCTTCGTTTTTGCCTTTTTAGCATGATATATATGTATATAGTATAGTGTCCCGGAACTAACACCGGCCTGGAATTTGGAGATCTCAATCCAATTTCCAGTCTTCCTATTGACAGCAGCATAACCTAATTAGATTACCAGCTTTGGGTCTGTCTTTTTTTCCTTCCTCCTTCCTACTACACACTGCCTCTCATCCCCCACCCCGTATGAAAGTGCGTGCTGTCCAGCTTCCATTGCTCTTCCGAGGATAAGATGGCCTCTCTGGAATACTTGGAATTGTGCTCTTCGTGCACTGAAAAGCCTTTTTTTGGTCTGCAATACAGGAACGCACGCAGGAGCTCTTTGCTCTGCTCCCAGAGAGCGAGCGCATGCCTGGTAGGAGCCGTGGACTGAAAGGGAACATTACGGGTGAGCCAGCTGCTGGGGCTAGGCTGCGCTCACAGGATCTTGGAGCACAGAGGAGGGCCTGCGAAGCGTCCTCCCTGGCAGCAGTGGGTGCAGTCAGTCTTGGTCTCATGAGTAGATGAGCGGGTCTTGTTCGGACTCCGACAGCCACCGAAGGAAGAATGTTGTTCTTCTGTCCTTCTTGGACCCCCACGCTGGTGACCAAGTGTAGATGAAACAGGTATAGGGGAGCCTCAGGAGGCATGGAGGCAAGCAGCGTGAATTCAAGAGTCTAGCTGGACTTTGTGTTGTTCGCATATTCTTTACTGCCTTAACCTTTTTGCTGGTAGTTGTGCCTCTTCCAGAACTCCTCTGTGGTTCTCTGCAGATAATGGCACCTGGACACAGCTGTGGCTCGTCTCAGACTACCATGAGCATGGCTCCCTGTTTGATTATCTTAACCGATACACGGTGACGATCGAGGGGATGATTAAGCTGGCCTTGTCTGCGGCTAGCGGGCTAGCACACCTGCACATGGAGATTGTAGGTACCCAAGGTGAGTGGACCCCACTGAGGGGCAGGCAAGTTGAGTAGCCTTTGAAAGCCGGTACCATCCTCATTTAGTTCCCAGAACTCCTTTTTACTGAGGAAGTTGGAGGTAGGCCTCAGGAACTGTGGCCTAATCTAAGGGAGAGAGGTTTGAGTTTTTCTGGAGAACAGAAGGTGTCTCCAGTGGGGTCTTGCGACCTCCGTCTTTAGAATTCCTTCAGGGGCTCTGGAACACAAAGATTCCATTGTTTGTCCTCTGTTGGCCCAGCATGATAGTTGGGTGGTAAGCCAGTGTCCTGTCCTCCCAGAAGTCCACCACACACACGTAAAAGAATGGCGCCCAGAAGAGAAAAGGAGCACAGTTTGCTAATGTCACGTCACACATTTGCTGTTGGCGACAGGTGGCTTACGGACTGCGTGCTGGATTAGACACTGGGCTTTACAAACCTAGGAAGGTTCTCCTGGAGGAAACAGACCTGAGGCTTCTTTGTATGTTGACTGTGACATCAGCTCTTTGGGGGATCACGGTTCTCGTCCGGGCAGCAGGTGTGCTGTGCTCCCTGATTTCTGGTTGACCAGGGCAACGGCTCTTGCTGGCCTTGAGGGAAAACCATTAACGTCTGATCCTGTTCCTAACCCCTGTGTGATAGTAGCAGGCCTTATCTTCGCCTCTTTGACCGTAAAAACCTCGCCAGTATAGCGGTTTTTCTTGGAATTCCTTAGCAGTTCTGTCCTGGAGCATATCAGTTCAGGGAAAGGCAAGGAGGAGGAGGAGTGAGAATCACTAATACGCATGCCCTTCTAACCTCTTCACTTACCTACATTAATGCGTTTAATCCTCACATTGCCATCAAGTAAGGACTGGGGTAGCCTCATCTTACGGATGAGAAGACAGAGGTGCAGACGGGTTGAGTCGCTTTTTTAGGGTTACCGGGTTAGTGGGAGGCAAAGCCAGAACTTGGACCCACGCAGTCTGGCTGCAGAGTCTATGCTTTTAACATTTATGCTATCTCTCTGTAAAGATCCTTATTTTTTTCTCTGCCAGGGAAGCCTGGAATTGCTCATCGAGACTTAAAATCAAAGAACATCCTGGTGAAGAAAAATGGCATGTGCGCCATTGCAGACCTGGGCCTGGCTGTCCGCCACGATGCGGTCACAGACACCATCGACATCGCCCCAAATCAGAGGGTGGGGACCAAGCGGTAGGAAGGCCCTGGGCCTCTGCCTTTGCCCTACCCTTGTACTGAGGAGCGCACGGGCGCCCTTTCCCGTCTCTAAAGGAGAAAGAGGCATAGAGGAGGACGTGTGGCCCTTGCTCTCCGACAGCCGAAAGCTGAAGTGAAGCCCCATTCCACACACTGGAGAGCTGAGCTGGTTGCGTCTAACAGATACGGGTGCTGTGAGCACGGCTCTAGAGAACTACAGACACGTAGATCTTCTTGGTATTGGGCAGGGGGAGGCAGCAGAGAAAGAGAATCTGGAGAAAGATTCGGAAGGGGGCCAGGCTGCAGGCTTGGCTGGGACAAAGAGGAAGAATGTGCAGTCCCAACAGGTACTTGTTCGGAGGCGGGGAGTGTGTCAGAGAGCAGGTTTGCCAAGCTCGAGCGGAGGTGATCGAGGGTGGAGATTGGGGGCACATTCAGGATTATGGGCCTGCTTCCCGCTTCATACAGAAGTGAAGTAAGAAGTACGGAATTATGATTGTAGATTGACTTCATGAGTTGGAAACGGAAATGTCTTGTAATGGGACAGAAGAGGAGGTCTATTTATCTGCCAAATTTCAGTGAATTTCACTCAAGGGTGCTGCTCCTTTCCCCCCTTCCTTCTGACCCGAATGAGTGCAGCGCCCCTGTGGGGGGGTTGGGGGGTGTGGGGAGTGGCTCGAGTAGTACTAATTAACTGAGGGAGACCTTGATGATCACCTAGAATTCATTTTCATTTTTATTTGTAATTAGGTGAGATAACATAAGTTCAGAGTGAAATATAAATTCAGCCCATCACTGTGGCTACATTTAATGAAGTCCAAGACCCCAGCAGCAACCAGATATTATGGATTGCCCTGTGATCCACAGTACAGATACTTCTGCCAAGAAATCAAAACATGCTTAAAATACATCTTGATGGTTAAAAAAATAGAAGTACAAATAAGAGCAGCCTAGTATCACCCAGCCTCTGCTGAAGTGTTTAGATTCGAATCCAAAACATGGGAGTTTGCAATAAAGAGAACTGATCACTTCCTTCTCCTCAAGGGGCATTCTCAGGGTGATGCCTTTCCACATTCAGAGAGCCCCTGAATCACTACTTGGATTTAAACAAAGAAATCATCCTTTTCTTGGCATGATCTTGTTTCCTTTGCTATTGCAGATACATGGCCCCCGAAGTGCTCGATGAAACCATTAACATGAAGCACTTCGACTCCTTCAAATGTGCTGATATCTATGCCCTCGGGCTTGTATACTGGGAGATTGCTCGAAGATGCAATTCCGGAGGTACCTTTCTTTTTTGCCTTCTCTTGCTCCTACCTCCCAGTGCAGGTTGTTGGGTCACGTCAGGGTGCTCACCTGAGGGTGCTCACCCGAGGGTGCTGGTGTTTCCTTGCCTCCTTTCTCTTTACAACCTGTTGGGTGTCTAGTGCCAGAGCCCATCACACTTAGGGTTCTCATCAAAGATGAGGGAATCCTGGAGGTGGTTGTACTAAAGGTGTGTTGATTCTGTTGAATAGTGCTTTTTAAAAAATTTTATTTATTTCTTTAAATTATTTTTATTTATTGGGATGCCTGGGTGGCTCAGTCGTTAAGCATCTGCCTTTGGCTCAGGTCATGATCCCAGGGTCCTGGGATCGAGCCCCGCATCGGGCTCCCTGCTCAGCGGGAAGCCTGCTTCTCCCTCTCCCACTCCCCCTGCTTGTGTTCCCTCTCTTGCTGTGTCTCTCTCTCTCAAATAAATAAATAAAATCTTAAAAAAAAAATTTATTTATTTAATTTTAGAGAGTTGGGGGGCAGAGGGAGAGGGAGAGAGAGAGACTCTCAAGCAGGCTCCACGCCCAGCATGGAGCCCGACTCGGGACTCAGTCCCAGGACCCCGAGATCATGACCTGAGCCAAAATCAAGAGTCGAACACTTAACCAATTGTGCCATCTAGGTGCCCCTGTTGAATAGTGTTTTACGTTGTGGTAACCATTCCGGAGGCTTGTTTGGCTTGTTGTTTTGTTTTAACACATTGTCCTTATCGATCCTCGGAGGTTGGGAAAGCCCTGGGCAGGAATAGCACAGGACCAGTGCAGGGGCGCTCCTTCACATGAGAGGCAGTATGTTCTGACACCAGCTCTCAAGCCACAGTGCTGGGCTTTCAATGATAAAATAATGGTGGCAATTTCTGAATTTGGAACAGAAAGTTTATTAACATATAAAATTTTCTCAAAATGAGTTTTTTTGTTCTGTAATTTTTTCTTACACCTTCGGCCTTTGTACCTGCTCACCCATGTCAGAACCTAGTGAAAGGTAGTATCAGATCTAGCAGGAAACATTTTTTATCATTAGCTTAGTGCATCAGTATTATACGGTGACTTCTAAGTATTCTGCCACGTGAACAAGTTCAAGAACCACTAGAACCTTTTCCTCAGCCGTTTATCTCTGATGTAAAAGATTCCAGGTCAGTGGAAATGAAATAAAATGAAATAAAATGAAATGAACTGGTAAGTCTTCCAGCAGAACCCTCTTCTGTTTTACTGCCCTTTTCCCTCTCTCATATGTTTGGGAAGATTCCCATTATGGAGCAGGCACCCAGGTATTATTCATGGAATTGCACATCTAACATTTTTTTAAATTTATTTTTTGAGTAAACTCTACCCCCCAACGTGGGGCTCAAACTCACGATCCTGAGATCAAGAGTCGCGTGCTCTATTGACTGAGCCAGGCAGGCACCCCTAAAATTTTGATCATTATATACAGATAAAACAGATACGAAAAATCTGGTCACACCATCCAGAAGTTGGGGCTAAGTATTCTAATAATACTAATATTTACTCGCCACTCGCTGTGTGTGAACTCATTTCATCTGTACTGCAAAACCTAAGAGGTTGGTACTGTTATTTTCATAATTTTGCAGATGAGAATGAGTCACAGTGAAATTAGGTGATTTGTCCAAGGTCACACCAAATTACTAGGATTCAAACACTGGCAGACTGAGGCCAGAGCATAGGTTCTCAACTACCCCTTACATAATTATCAAGTCAGACCCTATTTACAAATCTGTCCCATTAGCTCAGAACAGTAGAATTTTTCCTGGGAAAGGGCATGGGAAAGTTACATTGGATTTTTTAAATTAGCTTTTTATTACGGAAAGTATGTCAGTTTATAGCTCTAAAAGATAAGGACTTAAAAAATATAACACTGTCACTTTAAAAAGTGAATAGTAATACCATTTAACCAGTCCGGGTTGAGATTTCCCCAGTTGTCTCCAGATTTTTTTTGAACAGTTTGTTCAAATTAGGGTTCAAATTATGTCCATCAACTGCAGTTGATTGATACACATCTTTTTTTTTTTTTTAAGATTTTATTTATTTGACACAGGCACAGTGAGAGAGGGAACACAAGCAGGGGGAATGGGAGAGGGAGAAGCAGGCTTCCCACAGGCGGGGAGCCCGATGCGGGGCTCGATCCCAGGACCCTGGGATCATGACCTGAGCTAAAGGCAGACGCTTAATGACTGAGCCACCCAGGCGCCCCGATTGATACACATCTTAAGTCTCTTATAATCTGCGGGTTCCCCCTCCACTTTTTTTTTCCTCTGCAGTTTATTTTATTGGAGAATCCAGGTCGTTTGCCCTGTAGTTTTCCTATCTAGATGTTGCCAGTAACCTTTTCTTGGCATTCACGTGTCCTACTGTTCCTGTGGATTTCCTGTGACAGTTACATCTAATGACTAGATTCACACGCACACACATAATTTTTTTTCCCAAAGTTTTTCTGTTACCAGGCACATAATGCTGGTTATCTCTCTTTCTGTGTCTTTTTTTGATGTTAACAGCTATCAGTGATCATTGTCCAAATCCAAATTCATTAGAGGTTGAAAAATGCCAATATTCTGATACTGTCAATCCTCAAATATTATCTAGATTTCTTTTTTATTTTTTTAAATTTAAACAATTTTTTCTTAAGTAAACAAACCCTACTCCACACATGGGGCTCAAGCTCACAACTCCAAAGTCACATACTCTCCTGACTAAGCCAGCCAGGTGCCCCCAGATTTCTTCTTTAAAGAGAAACTTCCCCTAATCGTTTGGCTAAAGATACGTAATTTGAGTAGGGAAGGCAGGAAAAACACTTGATTCTTTCCATTTATGTACCATTTTTCAAAACAATCAGTTTGTTCCCTCTCATCCTGCAAAGGTGACTGAGGTTTTTGGTGTCCTTTTTCTTTTTCTTTTTTTTAGTATTGTGAACTGGTGGATTTAAAATATTTGCTTCCATTGAAGTGATTAATTAGTCCTGCTTTGCTTAAATGTTCTCATCTTTGGCCACTTGGGAGCTTTCCAAGTCGGTGCCTTTTGACATGACCTCAGTAGTCTTTGATAGTTTGCTTGCTTTTGGTATGACAAAGATGTTCCTGGCTAGTCCCATTCTTGGAACCCACCCCCCTCTCCAAGGATCCCTAGCTCCTCTTAGTGGGAAGTGGTATTTACAGATCACAGTGTAAGTGTTGTCATAGGTTTTTGAGTACTGCCCTCCTTCTGGTGATAACTCAGGTGGGTATTTTCTTTTTTCCCAGGAGTCCATGAAGAATATCAGCTGCCATATTATGACTTAGTGCCCTCTGACCCTTCCATTGAGGAAATGCGAAAGGTCGTATGTGACCAGAAGCTACGTCCCAACATCCCCAACTGGTGGCAGAGTTATGAGGTAGGAAGCTTCCCAGCCTCCTGTGGCTTTTCCATCTGCCTGATTTTTCTACTTTAGAAAAAGGGTTTCCTAATTAAAAAAAAAAAGAAAAGAAAAGAAAAAGGGGTTTCCCAACAAGGAGGCTGTGCCCAGAGGTAACCCCTGAGTGGTCAGTTACACACTACTGCGTGCTGTTGTATACTAAGCCCTGAGGGTCCATGGTGCCTTGTCCTGGGCACTGTAGGGTCCCCTTGCCAATGGACAGCCTAGTAGGAGAAAAATCTGTGTCTTGGGGATCAAGCCCAGAGAGGGAGTCAACAAGAGACAGAAACAAAAACTGAGTGGGAACTGTTAGACCTGTCTAACTAGAAAAATGGCTCTGGAAGCACAGGGGTGAGCTGAGCTCTGTGGAAGAGTCGAGAAGAGGCATCCATGAAAGAAGCTCAGCCTGGGTGTAGAAGAACGGCAGGACAGGACTTAGCGAGAAGGCATGTCTGTGAGGGAGGCGGCCTTTCTAAAAACTCAGAAGGGAGGAGGGTGTGAAGGGTTGGAATTTGGGAGAGATGGCAGCTGAAGTGGGGCGGGGACAGCATTTGGGGGGGAAATTGAAATGAGGACAAACTTATGATACAGGTTCCTAATAAACACGGCATTCTGGGGCCTTAGAGTCTTCAGGGGGAGCAGGGTTTGCCGAGCCAAGTGCAGGTGGGACTCCTTGGCCCTGGTGGCTCTGCTTTTAGGAACTAGAACCACTAGAGGGCATCTGTGCACATAAGAACAAAATCACTTGGTTCACGTTTGAGGTGATGTCTTCCTGTTGCGTAATAGAGCAGCATTTTCCAAAATGTTCCTCGGAGCCCTCAGGTCAGGGTTTCCGAGGATGAGGGGGAGGCTGAAAAAGCTGGTCTTTAGCTGCCCCCGTCCCCCACGCCCTCCAGTCAGTTTTTGAAACTTTGAAATTTTGAAAACCACTGGCCCAGGTTAGCAACTGGGGACATCTGGGGCCCTCGGGGTTAGAGGTCTGTAGGCGACCTTCCAAATCCATCTCTTGACCTGACCACAGTGGTCGCCTGTGTAGTCCAGGCAATGGCAGTGTAGCTTTCTGCCTCTGACAGGATTGCTTTTCAGGGGCCCCTTGCCTGCTTCTTACCCCCAGTCCGTGCCTGTGAGCCGTGGGATCGCAGCCGTGCGCGTGCTCGTGCCAAGGTGCGCCCCTGTTGTGCCTGGTTCCTGGGCTACTTTAAAAAAACACACAGTTAGTACAGAACCACACAAATGGATTCTCCAGCCTGACAGAGGTGGTTTTCGGAGCCCTGGCTATTTCGGGTAGCCCCATCCAGAGCACCCCGGTGGCGGGCCGGCTGAGTGCACTTGCAGGGCAGGCCTCCCCTCGCCAGGCACGGCGTTCTCCTGGCCCCCCGAGGAAGGGAGGGCCAGGCGGAGAGGGAAACTTGCATAGCAGTCCGTGGGCTCCGAGGAGGTGGTCAGGAAGGCCTCCCGGGGCGAGGTTCGGACTGACGCCGTCTGCGTCTCCCCGCGCAGGCACTCCGGGTGATGGGGAAGATGATGCGGGAGTGTTGGTACGCCAACGGCGCGGCCCGCCTCACCGCTCTGCGCATTAAGAAGACCCTCTCACAGCTCAGCGTGCAGGAAGATGTGAAGATCTAAGCCTCTCCCTCCCTTGCACGCAGCCCCGGGCGGCGGGAACTACACACGCAGCTGCCCTGTTGAGCGTACGATGGAGGCCTACCTCTCGTTTCTGCCCAGCCCTCTGCGGCCAGGAGCCCTGGCCCGAGAGAGGGACCGAGCCCGGGAGACTCCCTCACTCCCATGTTGGGTTTGAGACACAGACACCTTTTATATTTACCTCCTGACGGCATGGAGACTCTGAGAGCCAACGGTGTGGAGAACTCGATGCCACAACTCGAACTGGCTGTGGTGGGAAGTCCCGCAAAGCCCGGGGCACCTGGCGGGTGGCCGGGAGGACCCAGGAGAGGCCGAGTGTCGCCAGTGCCCAGCAGCACTGAGGGTTTTCCTCCCGGGACCAGCCAACCCCAGCACTCCGAGGTGGCCCAGAGGCACCGCAAAGTACAGCCCCCTCTCACAGGCAGCTCTGGACCCCGGGCTCCCCTCCTCCCTCCCGCGGACATCTGGAGGGACCGCCAGTGGGGACAGGGTCTGCCGCCTGTCTGTCCAGCCGTGTGTGTGTGTGTGCGCGCGCGCATGTGCCGAGGTGTGTCCCCTGTTGTGCCTGGTCTGTGCCACGCCCTTACACGTGTGTGTGTGTGTGTGTGTGTGTGTGTGTGTGTCGGTGCGCACTTACCTGCTTGAGCTTTCTGTGCATGTGCAGGTCGGGGGTGTGGTGGTCATGCTGTCTCTGTGCTGGTGTCTCTGTTCTGTAGTGAGCAGCAGCCAGTTTCCCCGGTGCCCTTCCCAGAGGTCTCTCTCCCGGCCATGAACCCCAGAACCCCCATGCCACAGTGGGGCTCCCTGCCCAGCAGGCTGCTCCACCCGCCCCTGTGTCGACACCTCCATTTCAGACTGTGGAACCAAAGCTGGCCCAGTTGTCCCTGTCAGGCGAGGCTTTGGGGTCCAAATGGGAGGCGGGGGGTGGGGGGGCGGGGAGAGAATCTTGGCAGAAGTCTCGGGTGTTGCGGTCAGTGGCAACCGTGGGAAATGAGCCAGCCCAAGGGCATCGTCCTCAACGGCATCAAGGAAGGGCCAAGGGATTTTAAGCCCACATCCTGGGACTCAGATTGGAATGTCACATCTGTCTTTCATATCCCAGATTCTGGACACAGCAGTGTATATTTTTGGTGGTGATGGGTTTAGGGTGGGGAAGGGAGAGGGGGGCAAGGAGTGGGGAGGGAGTCGGGGGTGGGAGGGAGGCATCTGCATGGGTCTTTTACTGGATTATCTGATCACGGTGGAGGGAAGATGTGAGATTTGCACCCACTTCAGGGGCCCTATGAAAGGGAACAGCCCGAGCCAAATCTGTTCTTTTAACCTGAGTATAGTATTTAATGACGTCTAGAAGCACGGTTGTGGGTGGTGGTTTGCTCAGCATCTCTTAGGTATATCATAACTTTGAAGCCATAACTTTTAAACTGGAGTGTTTTGGGTTGTTTTCTTCCTTCTTTCCTTCCTTCCTTCCTTTTTCTTTTTCTTTTCTTTCTTCTTTCTTTTTTCCTTCCTTCCTTTCTTAATTTTATTGGAAGGATCTGAATTTTAACTTTTTTTAATATTGTTAAGTTTTTATAAAAGGAAAACCATCTCTATGTGATGATTACCTCTCAATCTCTTTGTTTTTAAAGAAATTCCTACAAAACAACGACAAAAAAAAAAAAAAATCCAATCAAACGCACATAGCTTAATCACACTGGAAATGTTTGTCCTTGCACCTGAGCCTGTTCTCACTGAGCAGCGAGAGTTCCTCCCTCTTTGCCCTGGAGGTTAGTCTCTCTTGCACTGTGCGCCCCCTCCCCAGCCCCCAGTTCTGTGAGTGGTTTTTGCATCAGGGCCCTAGACCTTTGTGCATTGTTCAGCTGGTTGCGCCTTTTCCTCCAGGCGCTTATTTAACGGATGTTCGCTGAGTGTCTGTTGTGTGCCAGGCCCCGTGCTGGGCGCTTGGGATACGTGATGTGAGCAAGACAGACGTGGGTCTCCCTCTTGGAGCACTGAGGAAGGGGCTCATTCAGGTTGGTGGGTGCCTGTTTCAAGACCAGAAGTTTGTATAGTTGGTTCTGAGAGCCTTTTGAGCCTGGAATGATTGCTCTTAGAGAAGACCACTGAGGAGCAGGATGCCTCCCCACCCCAAAGAGCCCGGTGGTGGGCAGTGAGACCCTAAATCACTGCATTCATTCTGAGCCCCCCTCCTGCCCCCAGGGGAGGCATATGATGTATGCAGCCTAAGAGCATGCCCGCCTCCAGCCCAGTGATTCTCTGCCAAAGCTTGTGGAGGAGGGGCGAGTCTCCCTGCTTACATGGGTCTCCCAAATGCTCCTGGTCTTCCTATTTATTTTCTTGATGTGTTGCTTCTTTCCTTGCATTAAAGGAGATCTTCACCTCACCCTTTGGGCCAATTTACTGGCTACTGACTAATTTCCCTTGAATACCAATTGTGTCATTAGGGGGACCTTCTTTCCCCACCCCTGCTGATTCTCCCCCCCCCCGCCCCCCCCCCGCCCCGCCTGTCTGCCCTGCAGCAGAACCTGGCAGGATAGAGGCGGTGATGGAACTTAGACTCCTGTGCCCCAGTCACAACCAGCCTCTGGGATCTGCCAACACTCCTCGACCCAGGGACTCCCAAGCCACTAGCCTGTCCCCCAGGGGGCCCTTCCGGCCTCACCGCACCTTGGGGAAGACTGAGCAGTTTTTTGGGAAGCCCCCACCCCTATCCCCACCACTCTGAACACCAAGAGTTAGGAGTTGGGAGAGCTGGGGAGAAACTAAAGCCTAAAGCCGTGGTTTTTGGCCCCTGGGGCTAACCCTGATCCATAGGGCTACCTGCACCTCTGGATTCTGGATTCACAGACCAAGTCCAAGCCCGTTCTTACGTCGCCATCAAGGCCCCCGAACGGCATTCTCGGTACTTCTGTTTGTTTTTGTACATTTTATTAGAAAGGACTGTAAAATAGCCACTTAGACACTTTACCTCTTCAGTATGCAAATGTAAATAAGTTGTAATATAGGAAATCTTTTGTTTTAATATAAGAATGAGCCTGTCCAATTTCTGCTGTACATTATTAAAGTTTTATTCACAGAGCTTTTCTGGTGCCCGCTGCCTTCCGTGTGTGTAGACTGACTGCCCAGCTCTCGTCGGGGGCGAGGGCAGGGGGCAGACGTTCCGAGGTGGTGGTGCTACCCTCCCACTCGCACCTGCCACGGCCAGTCACGTCTTTGGAAGAGGAGCTGGTCCGGACGCAGGGGGTCTTCCTCCCTGACACACGGGGGCGGCCTGGCCTGGCCTGTGCGAGGGAGCAGGGGGCAAACCACACATCTTTTCTTGGACTTTGTCTGTATCTGCTTTTGCCTCTTAGCCTCTTCCTCTACACAAAAGAGGGTCTCGATCCTGGTGCGTCACCAACCACATAGTCTCGAAGGCAGCCCGAGAGCTCCGCTGGGTTCCTGTTCTCCCCCTTGGCGATTAGAGAATAAATGTGAATTGGGGGCACTTAGGTGACTTTGAGGTGGAAATCTCTGGCTGCTCGGCTTTTCAGCATGTGGGTGGCAGTGAATGCCTTTCTCTAGGCCACGGGAACCCCAGATGGCAAGTCCTCGGGGTCACAGACACTCAAGTGTAGCTGGGGCCCTGGAGGCCGCCTGCTCCATCCGTGTTGGGCACTGGCCTCCCCTGCAGCCCCCTGCCACGTGCTGGGAGGCCCACGCCTTCCCCTGCAGGCCATCTGCTCAGTAGCAAGCCCTCCTCGTGTGGGGCCAGGCGGCCTCCGGGTGACTTCTCCACGGTTGAGGGCAGTTACTCTCTCGTCCCTGTGAAGTCCCTTCAGTTACCATCCGTTAGCGTTGTTGACTAAAGTTGACACTCTGTGCTAAGCAGTGCAGCAAAATTTGCTTGATGTATATTCACTGCCCTCAACCTCAGACAGCCTATGAGGTGGGCATTACTCTCCCCACCCTCCTTTGTGGATTAGGAACCGAGGGCTAGAGAAGTCAGTAAGTTGTCCGTGTAGCTCACTGTGTCTGATCACAGACTGGCCCCTGCGTCTGTGCGCTGTCCTGCCCACATGGTCCCATATTCTTCCGCCATGCCACTGAACCTCGCAAGAGCCTGGGGCCGGAAGGACACATAGCATCCCATCCAGGCATTAACTGAAGCGCAGGCTGGAACACGAACCACACCGTGCCTGACTTCGGCGGGTCACATCCGAGGACCCTAGGACTGCATCTCATGGGTTGAGTGAAGCCTAGCCACCTTCTCCTTCATCCCGTCCACGGGAAGCTGGTATTTTGACCTCAAGTGCAGGACCTTACATGTTTGCCCTGTTAAATTTTATTTTATTTTTTTTTAAGATTGTACTTATTTGACAGACACAGTGAGAGAGGGAACACAAGCACGGGGAGTGGGAGAGGGGGAAGCAGGCTTCCCGCGGAGCAGGGAGCCCGATGCGGGGCTCGATCCCAGGACCCCGGATCATGACCTGAGCTGAAGGCAGATCCTTAACGGCTGAGCCACCCAGGCGCCCCTGCCCTGTTGAATTTTACCCGAGGATGTGCTCCTGGCTCCAACCTGTCAGTATTTAAAAATTCTGATTGTTGGGGCGCCCAGCTGGCTCAGTTGGTAGAGCATGCGATTCTTATCTCCTGGTTGAGTGAGTGTAAACCCCATGTTGGGTGTAGAGACTACTTAAAAATAAAATCTAAAAAATAAAAATTCTGATTGTTATCTAGAGTTTTCCATTGGTCTCTCACCTGAGACTGCTGGGCTGGAGAAAATCAAGTAACTCACCTCTAGAAGTTGGCTTTAAGTTTGGCACATATTCCAGTAACCTGGATTAGCTGCTAATTAAATTGTCCTTGTGGCCTCACCATAATTCATTTGTGGACAGAGACAACAGCGCAAGTCCGAATAGCTTTCTGAAGTGGCAAGGCAGTATTGTGGCTGTAGCATCTCTTTGTCGACAGAAAGGTGAAGTGGCTTGTAGGGAATCTCAACCCCGCTAAAAAGCCATCCTGTGGGGGCGCCTGGGTGGCTCAGTCGGTTAAGCGACTGCCTTCGGCTCAGGTCATGATCCTGGAGTCCCGGGATCGAGTCCTGAATCGGGCTCCCTGCTCAGCGAGGAGCCTGCTTCTCCCTCTGACCCTCCCCCACTCATGTACTCTCTCTCTCTCTCTCTCATTCTCGCTCTCTCAAAATAAATAAATCTTAAAAAAAAAAAAAAAAAAGCCATCCTGTGAAGAATCAGTCGTCTCACCGGGCATGGACCTAAAATGCCCTAGGCTGTGGATTGCAGCTTCAACTTTAGCATTTTGCAAATCAGAATGGCAACCGTTGTGGTACCCCTTTGTGTGCCCTTGAAGGTTACTAAGGAAGTTTCACCTTTGTAAGGCCCATGACACAGGAGACCTGAATGATGTTGACTAGTCTATCACTTAGGGGTTTTTTTGTTTCACACATTGTGAATTTTTGTCCCCGCCAGGTCCTGTCTTACGATCTTTACAGTCTGGAGAACATGCTTGCGAAATACAACCAAAACAAAATTTAAAGTAGTAGAGTTCAAGTGACACTCAGGAACATACGAGGGATGCATAAGGAAGGTGGCGGGAGGGAGAAAAGGCTTTGGATCAAGCCAGGAATGGTGTACTAGGATTCTCCAGAGAAACCAAACCAATGGGATGGATGGATGGTTGGATGGATATTTTAAGGAAGTGACTCATGACCGTGGGGGCTGGCCTGTTTGAAATCAGGCTGTGACAGCTAGAGATCCAGGGAAGAGTTGTTGTTGCAGTCTTGGATCCGAAGGCATTCTGGAGGCAGAATTCCTTCTTCCTCAGGGGACTGCAGTTTGTTAAGGCTTTCAACTGATTGGATGAGGCCCATCCACGTAATGGAGGGTAATCTGCTTTATTCAAAATCTGCTGACTTAAATGTTAATCACACCTAAAACATACCTTCACAGCAACATCTAGACAGGTTCAACCAAACAACTGGCACACCACTCTGGAAGTCATTGAGCATCCCACAGTCAAGACAGGCTGGGATTTAAGGAATATGGCCGAGAGCCTTGGGTCCACCTAGGAATGCTCCTTGAACAATTGGATAGACTTGGCTCTCTTTGATTTGTTGAGCAACCTTAACGTGTAACGCAGAGAGAATGCAAAGACAAACAGTCTATGGTCCTTGCCCTTCAAGGCAGAGAGAGGGTTTGTACAGAAAGAACAATAAGGCAGATTCTGGCAAGTCCCCTTATGGAACTATATGTAACATGTCATGGAAGCACAGACGGGGTGCCTAGGGAACCCCATGCATCCCTGCCCTCCAGGGGCTCCCTAGCTGGTGGACTGGACTAGCAGATAGATAACCACAGTGGAGTGAGGTGCATGTTAGGATAGGGGTTGATACAGAATCCCCCAGGAGCACAGGACAGTAAGTTGGGGTCAAGAGAGGTGACATCTCTATTTTGTTGTAGGCATTAGCCTGCTGACTGAGGAGAGGAGAGGGTTTCAGTCAAAAAGAGTGTGTCATCGGGGCGCCTGGGTGGCTCAGCCGTGAAGCGTCTGCCTTCGGCTCAGGTCATGATCCCGGGGTCCTGGGATCGAGCCCCACATCGGGCTCCCTGCTCGGCGGGAAGCCTGCTTCTCCCTCTCCCACTCCCCCTGCTTGTGTTCCCTCTCTCGCTGTGTCTCTCTCTCTCAAATAAATAAATAAAAATCTTAAAAAAAAAAAAGTGTGTCATCATTCAAGAACCACAGATGTCCTCAGCTATGGCTAGAGCGAGGGAGCCAGAGCGACCATGAGGGAGTCTGCTGGGGCTGTCACATGCTGAGACAAAAAAGACTTCATCCCGGGGGCCACCAAGGCCATCACCCGTGACAGCTACCTCAGACTGTGCGAATCAGCGGTTTGTCCTCTCGAGTCTGGCTCAGTCTCCGAATGTTTCTCAGTAGCATGCTTATGTGGAGTGGCCCATAAGTTAAAACCTCTCTGAGGTTCCGGCGTCCTGATGGAGGGAACAGGCCACGGACAGGTTTTAGCAGGGGAGTGAGGTGATCTGCTTGTGCTGGGGAAGATCACACCGCCAGGACTTTGGGAGAGCGGGAACAGCTGAAGGAAAGGGAGAGACGATGGGTAGAACGCACAGGTTCGGGGCATAACCAGATGCGAACTGAGAGGGAAAAGAGGGGGGCTGACTTTGGAGTCAGGTGAGGAAAAAGTCAGTTTGGAGTTGGGGGGGGCAGTTGGATGCACCACACCGTCCCCTGGGAGAGGGAACCGGGGATGAACCACCAGACAGCTGTTTGCGCCAAGAGGGAGGAGGGCTGGGGTGTCCGAGGCCCTAAGAACTGCCGTTTTCCGCCCTCACTGTCTACACGTTCTGAAATGAGGCGGGGTAAAGTAACATGTATCCTGTGTCCTCACAGCAGCGTGTGGATGCTGTGAGGAAAGCTGGGGAGTTACCCCTCCCTTCTGTCAGTCTCACCTGTTTAAGTCGGAGACACCTTGCCGTCCCCACCGAAGAGGCAAGGTGGTCCCCGGCCTCTGGCCAGACTAGACCCAGAGGCCACCCGTATCCAACACAAATAAACTGCCGTATCTGCTTTGCCCTTATTCCCAGATCCCCCAGAATCGGCTCTGTGGGCTGTGCTGGATCCTCCCGGCTGCTGGGCTCCCCTGGGCCCCAGCACCACACACAGACACTATCCAGTGGAAATTTTTGGGCAATAAGAGCCATTAAGAAAAACCACCACTCCCTGCCCAGTCAGCTGCCCACTGGCTGTCTCTGCCTCCCTCGTGTCATGCACGCGGGGGCCCGGGCCCTCATTCCTGACCAGAGCACCGGCTGAGTCCCAGGCCCTCTCTCTCCCACCTCCCCGGCTCAGAAGCAGCATCAGACCCAGAGAGGAGTCTCAGTGACCTCTTACTCTTCCTCCCAGTTCTGGGATCAAATGATGAAGCCGGAGCTGACATTGAGTTAGACTCCAGAGCGGCCTGAGCTGCTGGAGCTCTTGCCCCAAGTGCCCCGACTTCCTGATGGTACCCTAGAGCTTGAGCCCGTCGGTGGGGACAGGATTCAGCCCTCCCCACT